CGACTTTAGCAGTTTAGCCGTTTTTGTGCTATAAGGCTTATGAGCGTTGGTTCTTGAACAGAACTGACAGTGATATACACTAATCACTGCCGGTTTGAAGGACCAGCCGGCAGTGATGACACATATCATTGCCGGTTCTTGGCTCTAAAAACCAAAAAAAGATGGGGTGTGACACAACCGGCAGTGAGGACTGAAAACACTGCCGGTGTGTGTCTCCAACCGGTAGTGGTTGGACGTCTAACTATCATTGCCGGTTGGAGACACAAACCGGCAGTGATAGTTGTAATCATTGCTTGTTGGGTCACAGCCCCAATCATTTTCTGATTTTCATAGCCAAGAACCGGCAATGAAGGGTATTCACTGCCGGTTCTCCTAATCCCGGCAGTGATCATGCCGGCAGTGTTGACTGAATTTGTAGTAGTGTTTGCAATGTCACGTTACTGAAAAACTGAAGCCTATACCAAATGTCAATTTTCTTTATTTCAGGACAAATGTAGAGTTTGAGTGGAGCACACAAGTGATGGGATCGTCCAAATGAAGCCAAGCCAAGTGAAGCTACAGTGGTGTCTAGGCATCTTAGATGTTTTGGTTTAGGAACAAATGTGTTGGATATCTTTGTTTAAATAATGTGTTTTATATGAGTTTGAATTTGGACCATTTAATTCCAGATATGAACAAATTAATTGAGTCAATATTTTGGTTTATTGGCTTTGTTCAAATGCTTTGTTGATGTCTGCTGAGTTTCTAATTCATTAACGGTGTTGTAATATTGTCTGGTGGCACCAAAGCAAAAGCGTTGCAAAGGTGGCTATTGGCAACCACATTTTTTGTGGCAATATATCCTATGACAATGAACAATTTGTGTAGCAATAGGGGTTGAACCTTATAGCAACAAAACATTGAATGTGGTAATTGCACATGTTGCCACCACTTCTTGGTATTACGACATAATCCTTGTTGCCACACTTGTTATGCGTGGCAATACCGATTGCACCTTATAGCAACCAAATCTTGGGCGTGGTAATTGAATATGTTGCCACCACTTTTTGGTGTTGCCACATGTCTTGTTGCCACACTCATTATGCGATGCAATAGCGGTTACACCTTATAGCAACCCAACCTTGGGCGTCGCAGTTGCACATGTTGTGACATAATCCAAGTGTTGCGACATAATCCTTTTGCCACTATCGGTATGCGTGGCAATACATTGTGTTGCAACACACGTTCGGCGTTGCTAGTGCACCATTTGCTACGCCATGGGCATGTTGCCATTGCATAGTCTAGCGACGCCTAAGGTGTTGAATTAGATGTTGTTGCCACACATTCAACTGTAGCAAAAACTTAGCTTGCAACGCCCTAGGTGTTGCAATTCCAATACACATTTGCAACACCGCATAGAAAAGCATTGTGCAAGCCTATTACCACCCTTGATCTTGCAACGCCTCCCAACGCTAAATTTGTGTTGCTATTGCTGCTATTGCAATGATTTTGGGTCTATCGCAACACATTTGGGGCGTTGAAACATGGTCAAAATTTAGTAGTGGCTTTAAAGGGAGGCTTTCAGGTCCTTTTCCACTCATGAAGTCTTGGCTCCCGTCGTGCTCATGATTACCACATCGGAGGCTCTTGACGTCCTTGTTGGGCAGACCAATTATTTGATCAACACTTGCGTACCTTTGTCCTCCGAGATGGTACGTACGCATGTCTAAAGAACTCAAGGATAGATATTCATATTTGTCAATATAAATTTATATGAGTTGTTGCTTAATACAAGAGTTATTTCCAAATTATCACATTCACGTGAAAGAAGTCACAAAAAGCTACACGCTCGTAGCATGATCTATTTCTATGGGTGGTGACTATTTATATGAACTTTGTTGCTTAGTATTAACTCTTGGAAAGGGGGCCACTGCCATTTTACATAGATTTTTTTAGTTGATTTGATATGAAACTTCTACTCTGTGTAAATGCTCAACCTAATAAAAAAAGTGATCCTTTTGCTTGTTGCAACATTCAAGAATTATCATTTCTCTTTGTATATATAGGGAGAAAGGCCATGGCCTCTCCATGTGTAAACATAAGAGGGAAGGTGTAACAATAGACCATGTCCACCATGTAAAACTAGGGGAACTGGAGAGATAGCAACATGATGCTATATTGGTTTGAAGCTTATGTGTAATGTTTATTAGCAATGCATCTAATGGAACAACATAACAGTAGTGGGACATTCTTAGGGTTGGGAGGCATCGTGAATCAATGCTATAAGAGCACCCGCAATGTGAAGGAGCGGGGTCACTCCTATCCTGGGCCCCATGATGACATGACTCGTCCTGTTGTTTTACACCACAGCGTATCGAACCGGAGTCGCTCCTTAGCTGGGACCCACGCGCCCAAAAAAAAAGACAGATCATTTTCTTCCCGCAATCGAAGCTTTCCCCATTCTTCTTCCCAACTCCAAATCCGTCGCTCCGCCGAATCCGCCCAATCTCTACCTCGTGCGCTGCCGCATGCACTTCTCCATCCGCTGCTGCCTCGTCTCCCCCATGCAGTTCCCGCGCCTTCCACTCGTGGTGCACCGCCACCTCGTCTTCGTCATGCGCTGCCCGCCTAATCTCGAATTCGCGCATGGCCAGATTCCCTCCCGCTTCTGCGAATCCACCCAATCTCTACCTCGCGCAGGTCCGCATGGACTTCCCCATCCGTCGCTGCCTCATCTCCCCCATGCAGTGCCTGCGCCTTTCGCTCATCGTGCGCCGCCACCTCGTCTTCGTCATGCGCCGCCCCAGATCGATCCCAAATTCGTGCATGGCCGGATTCCCTCCCCACGCTTTTGCGGTGGCCATGCAACAAGGAGGACGCAGCTCGTGATAAGGAGGACGCGGCGGAGTTGGCGCCCTTGGTGTCGTGCATGGACGTCGCCTCCAACTTCACCTTCGAGATCTGCCGCATGGTTTGTCTCTCTCCATATCTAATAATAGATTTGGTGTTGTGTGATAGTAGCACTTGGTATTGCTGCATTATTATTTCTGTCTAATAATAGCATCTATCTGAAGTTACAAATACAACATTCCATTGATTTAGGTTTACAACAACAATGCTGAAAAAGCTAAAAATAGCAAGATACATGGAAAGGACATCTCCATATTACACATTCTAATGTTAAAAAAAATTACACGTTCTCTGGTTGCCTACCACCAAATTTTTGCCATATATGTTCCACTAGATCTGCCTGTAGACGTTTATGAGTCTCTCTGTCATGAATCATATCATTGATCTCTAGAATTCTGGTGAATCCATGAATTGGTCCATGGTCAAGTCCTTCAATTGGTCTGGTAGCTCGTCCCTCTTCATATGTAGTGTCTAGATGCAACTGGTACGAGTCCCTTTCATCCTCAACTATCATATTATGCAGAATAATACATGCCATCATAATATCTTCTAGCTCTTGCCTGTCCCATAGACGTGCTGGATGACGTATAATTGCCCATCGTTTCTGTAGAATCCCAAAAGCACACTCCACATCTTTTCTTGCTGCCTCTTGATGATGAGCAAAGATACTATCCTTTTCAGTAAGAGGTAAAGTAATTGTTTTCACAAATGTTGCCCAATCTGGATAAATGCCATCAGCTAGGTAGTAACCCATATTGTACTCTGAACCATTAATTGTAAATTTAACTTCTGGGGCTCTCCCTTGTAGCACTTGTGTGAACAATGGCGATTGGTTCAACACATTTAGATCATTGTTGGAATCAGGTGTGCCAAAAAAGGCATGCCAAATCCAGCGGTCATAGGAGGCAACAGCTTCAAGCATGATAGTGGGTACCTTGTAGTCACCTCGGGTAAACTGTCCCTTCCATGCAACTGGGCAATTTCCCCAGCGCCAATGCATGCAATCTAGACTTCCCAACATCCCTGGAAACCCTCGTGCCTCTCCAACTTTGAGTAACCGTTGAATATCCTCATCAGTAGGTCTTCTAAGATATTTCTCCCCATATATGTGTCTAATACCTTGAACAAACTTGATTAGACACTCTAAAGCTGTGGTTTCAGCAATTCCAAATGATTCATCCATAAGGTCTGCTGGTGATCCATATGCTAACATTCGGAGGGCAGTCGTGCATTTCTGCAGCGGTGATAGACCCACCTTACCGAATGCATCTCTTCTTAATTGAAAATATGGGGACCAGTTTTCTAATGCTTCCTTAATTTGCAAAAAAATGTGCTTTCTCATCCTAAACCTTCTACGGAATTGGGACTCAGTGTACAAAGGATTCTCAGCAAAGTATTCAGCAACTAATTTTGCATGGCCAGCTTTATGATCTCTATTAATGTACCTTTGCGAGTTGACGTTGCTTCCTGGCTAAGCTTGAAGTTTAGCTTCAATTCGAGCTTGCATTTTTGCTTCTACACGAGCCACCATTGGGTCATTGAGTTCCTCCAATATGAGTTTTTGGAGGTCCTCACTTGTGATGGACTAATTTTCAGAGTCTTCAGCCATTGCTGGTAGAGGTCTGGTTTGGTGGATAGAAGGAGTAGAAGGATTTATAGATGGCTTCCCTAGCAGTTGGCTTCTCCAACAACTAGTTTTTGCAACAGCTAGATTCTCCAACAGCTAGTTTTTGCAACAGCTAGATTCTCCAACAGCTAGTTTTTGCAACAACTAGTTGCTGCAACTTTCATGTCAGCTGTGTAGTAAATATTTTTCAAACAGCAAGTTCTAAGTTTCTGTGTTCCATGTGTATTTTTCAGAATATTTCTCCAACAGCTAGTTCTGAGTTTCGTGTCTTTTTTCAGATCTTGAGAACCAACAAGGAAAGCAGGTGGCACATTGCATAAACAGGTACAAACCAATATCGATATTACCAATAGTGAAAAACAGTACATATTAGTAGTGCCACATACATTTAGTACAACACAAATTCCACGCACTAATACATAATGGTAGTGCCTCATACATTTACTACAACACATACAATACACACTAATACATAACGATCTGTTTAGTTGTCTGAAGATGGAAATAATTCCTTGGCTAGATTCTCCAAGAGTTGTTCATGCAGCTTCAGTATTGCTGGACTCATGTTCGAAGTATCCTTATCCAACTGTTGCATGTAGTTTTTTACCTTGTCCATTCTAACCTGCTCCTTTGATGCTTCTGCTATTTTCTCTAGTGCACTTGCTCTCTTCAACATAGCATCGTGAAACAAAACCATGTCTTCATCTGGCTGCGAGCCTAGGGGAGATTGTGCAATCGCCTTTCCCTTTCCCTTTCCTTTCATCCTAGCTTTTGCTTTCTTCTGCCCCTCTAGGCGCACTTCTTGGAATGTTTCCCCTTCTTCTGTGTCTTGGTTGGAAGATGAAGTGTATGCTCCAGATTCATCTACTTTTATCCTTTTGTTCTTCTCTGAACAATCCATACCAGGTAGAGTTCTATACCATTTGGGTTGCTTCCTCAGAATCTTCCAGACATATTCAAGTGTAAATGGCTTTTGCTTGTTTTCTCTTTTGTATGTAGCACGTGCTTTCTCCATCAGCATGTCATCAGATTCCCCACTGCAGTAGGTCATTCGACCATAGACCCCATTGAACTTGGTACAAGCTGCATTAATTCTTCCCCAATGGCCTTTCAGCTGTCCCTTTGACCTTCTTCTTGCACCTTCAGGCTGGCCCGAATTGTATGCTTCTACTATCTTGTTCCAGTAGGCCTCTCTACTATGATCTGTACCACGAATTGGATCTACTGAATGCTTAATCCAAAGACTTACAAGGCGTTTGTTCTCATCCTCGTTGTAATTAATTCTCACAGTCCTCCTTCCTTCATCTGGGCTGCTGGCGCTTGAATCTTCCTTATCTTCATCTTTTTGTGGCTCTCTTATTTGCGATTGCGGGGTTGCTGAATCTGAGCCATGTGAAGATGCACCACCAGCAGAACCTACAAACATTCCACCTGGGAAGTCAAAGTTGGGTAGTGGCTGAAAACCTTGATAACTTGGTGAAAACTGGGCATACTGTTGGAGGTTGCCTACACCACCAAAGGGATTCAAGCTGTGCATGGCATGAGTAGATTGACTATGCTGGGGATAATGGGAATTGTTGAATGGTGCTGGTGGGGTAGAGAACTGATTTTGGTTGAAAGTGTTGGGTGTGAAATTTGGCATGTGCTGCAAACTTGTGTTATCTGCTCTTTGATTTCTAGGATCAGTGGCGAACAACCTACTAAAACTACCCTCTGAGGGCTCCATATTGAGTTGTTTTGATTTTTCTTCTCTTTTTTGTGTAGGCTGTTGGAAAGAACAAGAAGGCAGAGGAGGCTTGTTGGGAGGAAGGAAGCATGCTGGTGGGACTCCTTTTGTAGAAGAGAGATGTACTGTAGCAAGCAACAAGAAACATTGTTTTTTTTAAGGGCAACGGTCAAGTGATTCTGGTTTTCACTCCTCCGTTGAAATCTGAATGTTGCAGTATTTTTTTTGAATCTACCTCATGGCAGTTGGAGCCGTTGGAAAGTGTACTATGTGTGTCAGTGATATATTTTTTTATTGGGAAAGAGGCGGGTTCTATGTATGGGAGCCGCTCCTCCATCGAACTCAGCCTGCAGTGTATGGTACCCGGTGCTATGCTTACAATAAATGTATCTAACCGACCAAAAACCCAACACTGCAGGTGCTCTAGGGATGCAAAACACATAAGCATGATGTATCTCATCCACCGCCCGATCCATCTTGTGGATGGAATCTGCGCCAGGAGCAAGGACTCAAAAATCTCCGATCTCAGTTGGAGCAGCCATCAACTGCTCATGGGTCGGGCAATGGCTGCAGTACTCCTGGTTACAATAATCGCAAGCGGCGGGAAAATGTCAACACAGACATGTCATGAGCAGCCGCAGCAGCGATATTGGGAGGTGGATCACTCTAACAGAGAGCATGGTGATGAAGCTCCTGTCGCCAGCAGTGATGATCGGCAAATACCAACATTGCTTTTGGGACCACTAAAACAAAGAAATCAAGGCCGCTCTGCATTGTAGTAAAGAATGAACAAGAGCCTAAATATTGCAAGTGATTTTTATTTGTTGTATGTATTTAGACAAGAACTTCAAATGTTTATATCTCCAAAGCTTCTATCTCGCGTTCAGGAGCATGAGTTGATGTTTGAGTTGCAGTACAAATTCAGAGTTTGGTGTGCCATAAATCTTCAAGAACTAGTGCACCATTCAAGGTATCAGAAATCTTAAAGTGTCCATATCAGTTGATGTTGCTCAATTAATTCAGATACCTATATTGTATCATGAGAAGCGATTGTTCAAGATGAGGATTTTATTTTCTGCAACACCATCAAATCAGTTTAGTCGACCAACGACAAAGTGGCTCTGAAATGTCAATTCAGTTTAGACGAGGATTTTATTTTCCGCGACACCATCGTCTTAGGTATGCCATTTATTCTGTATGTTACCCACTTTGATGAAATGCTATGATCGCATCAAGATATGAACATGCATCTGTGGCAAGTTTTCGAGGCAATATGATCAAAGGACCACGAACTCTAGTGCTAGCGTGTCATGTATAGTATAGCATTCATTATTGGACAATGTTGTTCTCTCATACGCTAAGCTTTGTGGTGTAGTAGGTATAACTTATTACTTCTACTGTTCCAAAATGTAGTGCGTTTTAGGCGGTATTCACCTAAACACTAAGCAATCGGTTACATACATAGTGTAGTGATTATTCTAGCTAAATGCCTAACTAAACGGACTAAACTACCCTTTAAATGGGATAAACAGCCAACTAAATTAAAATATCCTACCACCAGTAATTATTTTACTCAGTGTTTAAATTTGTTAAATGGGTGATTTTTGGTTTGCGTTAAGTCAAATATATTTATGTTTGACCAAATTTATAGAAAAATATAGCAACATCAAAGGAATATATTAAAGATTTCTATATGGTGAATTAGTGCAACATTTTTTTTAAAAAAAATGGTCAAATTTGAAAAACTTGACTTAGGACAAAACCAAAACAAGTTACACGCATCTTGAAATAAGAAGTTTACAGTTAATCACTTTGACTTTTGCAGGTGGATATGTTGACAACGAACACTGCAATTTCTTCATAATGTTTCACATTCATTGTTGTAACCATGCAAGTTTTGAATAAGAAATGAATTATAAGAGTGATTTTGATAATGTCAAAATCTATGAGCTTCTTGATGGTGCTCAGTTGCTCACAAATGTAGGGTCGTTGTTGCAACATTCAAGAATTATTATTTCTCTTCGTGTGTGTGTGTATATATGGCATATAGGTCCTGGGCTCTCCATGCGTAAGCCTAAGGGGGAAGGTGTAAGAACAATTCGACCACGTCCACCAGTAAAACGAGAGAGAGAGAGAGAGAGAGAGAGAGAGAGAGAGGCTATATCTATTCTAAGCTTATGTGATTATTGGCAATGCATCTAGTGGTACGTAATATAACAACATTATAGTAACAGGACATTCTTACGGCTTGGGAGGCATCGTGAATCAGTGCTATAGGACTGCAATACAAAGAAGAATGATATATCTCATCCGCAGCCCGATCCATCTGCTGGATTGAATCCGTGGCAGGAGCAAGGACTCGTGAAACTCCAATTTCAGTTCGAGCAACCGTTGTTGGCACTGGCCACAGTACTGCTGAAGTCCTGGTCAGAATAATCGTGCACGGTGGACATTGCTCAATACTGACACGCTACGAGCTGGCCCGACAGCGATATCACTGCCTCCATCACTCTAACAGAGGGCACGCTGATGCAGCTCCTGCCACGATCGAGCAGTAACTCGGCATAATGCAAAGAGATTAGAGATATGATCAGCAAATACCACCAACCAGCAAAGTAATTCTTATTAATTAGCTGTGTGTATTAAACACAAACTTCAAATTCAGAGTTTACTGTGCCATATATCATCAAGAACTAGTGCATCATTCAAGGTATCAGAAATCTTAAAGTGTCCATATCAGTTCCTGTCGCTGAAGTAATTCAGATACATAAATCACATCACGAGAAGTGATTATTCAAGCAAGGATTTTATTTTTCGCAACACCATCGGATCAGTTTTGTCGACCAACAAAGTGGCTCTGAAATATGAATTCAGTGTTTTATGCAGCAAAAACGTGGCTCTCTGATTCCTCTCAGTAGAACACTTGTTTTTTGTTTTTGTTTTTGTTTTTGTTTTGTTTGTAGACACTTTGGTTTACTCTTTATAATAGATTCCCACTAGGGGCCTTGGACCTCCTGTCTCCTAAAAAAACAGAGTTCTAAAGTTCAGTCATAAGCCACCTCTAGTGAATTGGACAACCGAATTTTGCTTATGTAGCTAGAAGCACAGTAGTAGTAGGTCGGGGCATGTGACGGCAAGGTTGATGAGAACTTAGAATGTTGAGTAACCTCTAATATGATAGTATGACTCTTATGGTTGTTGCGCAAATATATGATTTATTTTTTCTTTAAATTTGGAATGCAGATCCAGGAAACAAAAAAATGAGAGGCGTGGCAGTAGTCTTGGGGAAGGATGATAAATAGGAGGGCCTAAATAGGAATGTGTTTGTCGTTCCAAGCTTCATGCACTGCACCAGCACCATTGAATGATCAGTTTGATTCTTAGTTCACTCAGGCCTATTTTGTAGATCACCAAATCAAACATGGAATCTGAATTCAGAGTTCCAGTCAGCTAAAACCATGCATGTCTGTGTCTCAATTCCATGTAGGCTAACCGCTTACCTTTTTGGGTGCTTGATGTAAAATATAGGTAATTTTTTGCTTGAAATTCAGTGACTAGCCTTAGCTCTAGTAAGGTGACACCGCATTTTACTTGGGTATATGTAGGAACACAATGTTGTGAGAACAAATGAGAGCCTTGGGATGGGGTGGGTCAGTGGGTGGGTGTTGAGGGAGGGGTGACTATCAGCTCTAATAGGGTATAATGTGATTCACCTATGGTTGTTGCACCAAACTGATTGATTTCACCTTAAATATGAGCTACAGGTCTCATAAAAGGACACAGAAAAAAGATGGACAATTATATTGGTGGTGAAATAATCCTTCACATAGACACTCTAAAATAACTCTATAAATGGAGATAAGGGGTGTGTCGTGTTTGTTCGAAGCTTCCATGATGATAGTGCCTGTGATAGTAGTAGCGACTAGCTGTGAAATATCCTATAGCCTATAGGACTGAGAGGCATCGTGAACTATGCTCTAGCCATGCAGACATGGACCGTGCTCAGACGTCATGTCCATGTTTTGCTGGAACATGTATTCAGCATCAACCTATCAGCTCGCTGCTCCTTAAGGTCCTGTTTGGAGTCAGGTGACTTATTAAGTCAGTCGACTGAAAATCAGTGACTTATAAATCATGCATGTTTGGTTGTAGATGATTTATAAGTTGTGGGCTCCACGTGTAAAAGGGTGGCTTATAAGTTTTAAGCAGAGATGAACTAGCTTAAAACTTATAAGCAGGGGTGACTTATAAGTTGATGGTGTTTAGCAAAATCAGTCACTTATTTCACTTTTTAACTTATAAGTAGGTGACTTATTTGAAACCAAACAGACCCTAACACATGTTTCCTCCTCCATAGGGTTAAGAGACACAGGCTCGGCTCTGAGCCTAGAAGACTGTTCGCTTGCTCGTAAACGATCGTAAATTTCCAGCCAGGAACCGTGTTTTTCTCTCACACCAAACTAGCCAGCAGTAAATAATTCATGATACGATACGGCCTCCCGAACAGGCTGTAGGTGGCCGGAGCGACTGCCAAAGGGCCCAAGCCGTTAGGGACCCAAAAAAAAGTTCATGTATATTAGTATATATGTATTACTATATTGTATATATTCTTTTGGCCCACACGTCTAAGCCCATGGGAAAAGGAGTGTGTATTGAAGTCTGAGCACCGAAACCTCACGCCGTGTAGACTCGCGGCCGCGTCTTCGTGTAATCACGTTCTCGCCGACAGCTGACTCGCCCTCAAACCCTCTCCTAGCAGACTTGCAGATTGCAGTCTTGCACTCAGCGTCGCCACCGCGTCGACGGCGTCGCTGCCGTGGGCGTCGGCCACTCCGCCCTCTGCCTGAAATGCCGCTCAGGGGCGTGGGCGAGCAAGGCTGCCATTCCCAATTCCGGAACACTGTAGCGAAACCCTGCGCAGGGAAAAGCAGCGAGCACTGTATCACTGACCGCGCCGTAGCCATCATTGTGTCCGAGGTCGGCTCTGTGACGCCGATCTC